CCAGATTCTCACCTGTCAGGAGCCACAGGTCTCTGCCAGAGTAGATCCACCAGCCCAAGCATGTTGGATTCATATGGGACACAGGAGCTTTCCTGAGAAATCTGCCTTGGTGGCTCTATTTTGCCCTAATTGGGTGGCTTTGCTGTGGGTTCCTAGTCTGCCTAGCTCTGAGAGTCCTTCTTCACATTTGCTTATCCCTCAGTTTCTGTGAAAATCCAGCAGCTCCATCACACACAATCCTGCTTCCCCTTGGAGCAGGACCTGATTTTGTGTGCTGGCCTGCTGGCTGAGCACATTGTGTGTCAAACCTACTCCAGCTCGTGGGGAAATCCATACACTTGTTCAGTTCTAGCAGGTCCTGTGAATGCCTGATCCAGCAGGTTCCCTAAACCTCAGGGGAAATAAACATCTTCACAGAGAACAGTCTAAATAGTGATGGACTAGAAATTCAACCTTTGTGATTCAGAACCTCTATGATCCAGGATGGAGCAGATGCTCTCAGTCTCTTGCTCCTTCTGCCCAGCTCCTCATCTTTTGACTATTTGTGCTCCTTCTGTTTAACAATTCAAAAACCCTTCCTGCATCTCTCTCTGCTCAATATCTTGGTATCACCTTTGTTTTCCAACCTCCCCTTTCCCCATAGAAACAGTCCTGAAGGAAAAATAATGTGGAGGAAATTAACTTCTCTGAGCCTTGATTCACTCAAACTGGCATGTCAGATTTCTGCTGTATAATTCTGGCTGGGACACTTCTGAGCTGGGCCTGGGTTTGCCTGGAAGAAAACATGATTTTCTTCTCTAAGTCTTCTTGCAGAGCAGTTATTTGTATTTGTCCAGCAGTGTGGAGTGAAAGGGAGACCTCAGGGAAAACCACAGCTCATTTACAGCTTAAATGAAAATTGAAAATGAGTTGAAAACAAGATGTGCAAGATTTCAAATTTTATCTTTTATAAACAACAGCTATTGCCTGTGGACGAATGGATGTAACAGAGGGATTTAATCTTTGTAAACAAGAGAAAAATGCATCAAAATAGACCCTCAGGCATGTGGCAGGACCTGGCTTTGGAAAATGGTGAAGAAAAGGCTGAAGCAACCTAACTGCTACTAAGAGTTTTATTGGCACAGGAGCTCTGTGAAGGAGACAAATAGGGACATTCAAGGCCTTTGCTCTTTGTATTTGTTTTTTATTAGAGCCATCAGTTTGAGCACATGTTTGCCTGCCCAGGTGGGTATTTGCAGTGCCTGGGAAGCCTCAGCTCCACAGCATGGAGTGTCTCCCTTGCCTGCCTGGCCACCTCTCTCATGGTAGAGTCAGCGCCAAAGGAACTAAAACATGGAATCTCAGAATGAGTTGGGCTGGAAGGGACCCTAAAGCCCAGGCAGTCCCACCTCCTACTGTGGGCAGGGACACCTTCCACTATCCCAGGTGGGTCCAAGCCATGTCCAACCTGGCCTTGGACGTTTCCTGGGATGGAGCAGCTGCAGCTGCTCTGGGCACTCTGTGCCAGGACCTCACCACCCTCACAGGGAAGAGTATCTTCCCAATATCCCATCTAACCCTGCCCTCTGGCAGTGGGAAGATATTTCCCCTTGTCCTGTCCCTCCATCCCTTGTCCCCAGTCCCTCTCCAGCTCTCCTGGAGCCCCTTCAGGCCCTGGCAGGGGCTCTGAGCTCTCCCTGGAGCCTGCTCCTCTCCAGGTGAGCACCCCCAGCTCTCCCAGCCTGGCTCCAGAGCAGAGGGGCTCCACTCTCAGAGCAGCTCAGGGGCCTCCTCTGGACTGGCTCCAACTGGTCCATGTCTTGTGCTGAGGACTCCAGACCTGGATGCAAAGCAGAGAAAAAACAAATTGGGCCTTGCTTTAAAGCCCTTGAACCAGGGTATTTTCAGGTTGGTCTGTTACATTTGTTAGTGAGGCCCTTTTGGCTGTGCAGTTTTTACATCCATTTATTTTGCCTAGTTATGGTTTCCTTTCTTTACCTGGTGAAATCCTGCTTTAGCTTTAGGTGCATTTAGAGGATTTGCTCCTAGCGCCTGTTTCACAGGTCTGTTATTGCTCATCTTATCCCTACTTGGACAGGAGTTTGGTAAGGAACAGAACACCCTGAGAGAGTAGACTTGGAACTTGTGGAAGGAATTTGGAGCCTTATGGGTAAGGTGAACCCACAGGGATCATCTACCTGGATTTCCCAAAGGTATTTGGCAAGGTCCCTCAGCAAAGGCTCCTGAAGGAAGGAAGCAGTCCTGGAACAGGTGGTGAGATCCTGTCCTGTTACAGGAGAGATTGTTTGCTGAAAGGTAAAGAACAAACGGGAGAAGGGAAGAGGGAAGAGACTGGGTAATAAAGGGGATGAAGTTTAAATGTACATAAATATAAAATGGTGCACAGGGAGAAAAACCAATTTTAACTCTATTTATGAAACAACGGGTTCCAAGTTAAGTGTTGCCATCTGAAACATCAGGGTTGTTACAGATTGTGCTGTGAAAATGTCAATTCTGTGGTCAGCAGCCATCCAGAGTAAACTGTGTGTGTCAATTGCTGGGGAAAACAGAACAAAACAACCCCTGCTCCCTCTGGCTGCAGGCATCTGGGGAAGCTGAGGATTCCTGGAGCTTTGAGGTGTTTTGGGTGGGAAGGGACATTCCTGGAGGGTGTGGGACTGTGCAGGGCTGCTCTCAGCCAGCCCCAGAGGGTAAATCCTACAGAGAGGGGAGTGGAGCTCTGTGCAGACCCTCCTCTGCCTCGGGATATAACCATTGGCAGCTGCCATTTTCCAGAGTCACCTTTGGGGCTGCCAACAGCCCCATCTCCTGCATCACCTGGGAAAGTCGGTGTGCCTACCTCTGCCAGCAAAACTGATTTATAAAGTAGAATTTCTACAGCTTTTTTAATATATAAGGTGGGAAGATTCCCTTGGAGACTGGTAGCTGTTGGGACGTGAATCTCTGCTGAGCTGGAGAGAGCAAGTGGCAGAGAAGCACTGCAGTGTCAATTCCTGCCTGGAATGCTGGAAGTCCCAGCAGGCTCCAGGCTGGGTGTCTTGCTCTGACACACCAAAGTGGACAAAGAGAGAGGCAGAAAATCTACCACAAACCCCACCAAGCTGGTGACCCGGTTCTGGAGCTCAGGTCCTGGTGCCCTTCCCAAGCAGGTCCTGGGTGCCAGTTATTTTCCCTAAAATTAGAAGCAACTTCTTTGTGAAGGCTGGAAAATCCTGAAAAAAAATCAGGTCTTTCTGTTGGTGTCTGGGGCTGGTATTTACCAAGGCTGCTGTGGAGGAAGGAATTGCTGTTCCTGCCTGGACCACAGCACTGCTGCTGCTGCTCAGTGAGTGCTGAACCCTTTTACCAGCTGTTTTCCAATAAAGCCCCACTGGCTGCCCTGAACTGTGCTCCCACTTGCAGCCTCCAACATGTCTCTGAGTAGCTGTTCTGGTGCTCTTTCCAGACTTGAAATCAGAGTTATGGGCTCTCATCTCCCACACATCATGAGGTCAAGCCTTGGTACTCAGCAATTAATCTGACATCCCCTCAGGTTTTGAGGGTTTACAGTGGCACTGCAAAAGGGCAGGAGCTCCCCGATTTCCTTTTCCCAGCCTTTCCCAAGCTTCCTTAGCAGTGCCACTAGGATGGAAAACACCTGTTGCTCTGCTCCCACCCTGGCTGAGGTAACACCAGCTGAAAAAGAAAGAACATCTGGGTGCATTTGGTTGTGCATCTAATTAGAGCAGTGCATAAGCCTTCATCCTGTTTGAAACCCTGCAGCTTCCCACTGCTCATCCCTTGTCCCTGGGGCTGCCTGTAGGAGCACTAAAGGAATGGGACTTAACCCTGCCACGCTTCAGTTGGTGCCATAATTGCCCAGGGCTCTTTCATCTGCCCTCTGTAATTGGGATCACTTTATCCCTGCCTTCATCCTCCCTAATCCTACAGGTAACCCTTCAGCTTGCTGTTCTCCACAGTGGAGGATTCTGCTCAGCTTTCCCAAAAACACCCCTTCCCCAGGGAAAGGAGGAGACAGATTCAGCTATGCCAGTGCTGGGCAGCACCAGCATCTTCCTTCACATTAAGCACCTTCTCTGGACCTCCCATCCTCCTCCTTCTCCTCCCGCCCTTCCTACATCCCCCAGCTTCTCCAGACACCATGAGTGAATTTAAAACTTTTGAAGAAAAGGCTCGGGACAATGTCCATCCATTTCAAGCTGTTTTGTCAGTGCAATGGCAGTGCAGGACACTGGGGGAGGGACACAGGCTGAGAGAGGAAATGGAGAAGGGACAGGGGTGTTTCTGTCTGTCCAGGTGCAGCACTGGGAGGGGACAGCAGAGCCCAAGCAGTTGTCCCAGCCACCAGCACCACTGGGACCAGGGGCCCCAGGTCTCCTGTCCCTGCTGCCTCAGTGGGGACACAAGGCTGCTGTGATGTGGATGTGAGAGCTGGGGTGCTGCGAGTGCCACATCTGGGGGGAGCACTGCACTCATGGCCCCCTGGCCCCCTAAAGGGTCACCTCCTCGAGTGGCAAGTCCAGCTCTGCCTGCTCAGCCCTTCTCCTGCTGAACACAGGGAAGGAGCACAGTGAGAGAGCGGAGTGAAATCCCCCTCTGGAGCCCAGGAGCTCCAGCACACAAGCTGGAGTTCCTGGACAAGGCTGGCAGAGGTGTCACACCTGAGAAGGCCATGTCCATCACCGTGGCACATCTCTGGAACAGTGAGGGAGCCCATGCTGATCTGGCCACCCAAGGGGACACTCACACACTTTGGGAGGATGCCTGGTAGCACAGGAACACTTTGGGTTTTTTCTTTCTTTCTTTCCTGTAAGCTTAGAGCTGAGTTTGCAGTTGGAACTCTGACCCCCTGCTGCTGAAGGGGAACGTGTCACCTCCAGCCCTGCTCTCCTGAACAGCAGCACGTGCTGAGAATGGCATTGCTAATGAATTCCCTCTGCCATTTCCCAGGAGAACTGGGAATCTCATCCCCACCCACCAGCACCTCCTTGCAAAGTTATGGAACTGTAAATCCAGCAGAAGCTGTCAGCGCCTTTAGATGGGCTGCACCTGGTATGGACTTCTATCCACATGGACCCAGGAGCCACGTGAGCTCAGCCCTGCAGTCTGTCACTGATCTGTGCTTGGGAGCTCAGCAGTGCCTGAGTGAGCGGCCTGACCTGGCCCCAGGCCCTCCTCCTCACCATGGACCTGCCAGGATTATGTCTGACCCTGGGTACCCCCCCAGACTCACCCCAGCCCAGACCCTGAGGGTATCCCTGTGTAAATATGGAACCTGGAGGAATCCCTATTGGCTGCAGGCAAGGAGGAGAAGAAACAGAGCACAACCTGTGCCTTGGAGCCCTCTGATCAAATGCTTCCAGTTTCACCAGGAATTCACTTCATTTGAGCCCTGGGCACACACAGTCCATGCCCCAGGCCCCACTGTCTGTGTCCCTGGCATGGCTGGGCACAGCTCCATCCCTTTAATGGAAAAGGGGGAGCGCATGGGAAACATAATTGTCTATGGAAGGTTTGGGTGTAGCAATCAGGAAACAGTGGTCTGCAAAATCTCAAAGGGAGTGGGAAAGGTGAGAAGTGGTACACAGGCTCTGGCTGAAGCTCTGCAGTGTGTGGGATCCTCTGGGAGGCTGCTCTGGGAAATGCAGGAGCTGGGCAGAGCTGGCAGGTCCTTAAGGACAGGATCCCGGATTACCCATCCCGATAATCAGGCACATCTACTGGGATGGCTTTGAGCTAAACTGGGAATGAACTCCTGGCTGAGCTCCAGTGCAAAAAGGGCAGCATGGAGAAGGTGGAAGCACGGACATGGAGAGATCTGGGCACCGGGGTCGGACTCAGCGGTGAGTCCATCACTGCCCCCCTCAGCGCTGCCCCTGTCACGTCTCCCGCTCCGCCGGGGCGCTGGGATGGCACAGCACGGGCACGGCCAGGCTCGGAGCGCGTCGGCCGGGGCGGGGCCGGGCCGTGCGGCGGGGCCGGGTGGTGTGGCGGGGTCGGACCGGGCTGTGTGGCGGGGCGGTGTGTCCCGCCCCGCGGCTTTAAGCGGGCGGCGGCGGGCGCGGGTCCCGCGGCGGCGATGGCGCTGCGCTGCCTGCTGCTGCTGCTCTGCGGAGCCGCGCTGGGACCCGCCGTGCACCTCGACTTCGCCGAGCACCGCAGCCAGGCCGCCAAGATCAAGGTCAACCCCCGCGGCAACCTCTGGGCCACAGGTACCGGGCGGGGGCACAGGGACCCCTGTGCGGGAGGTGCGGGCGCGGCGACATCCCGCGCTGTCCTGTGGCTGCCTGTGCGGAGCCCCCTGCTCCCAGCGGGACGGGGATGCTGGCAGTGCCGCGATGGGCAGGGGCGAAGTCACCTCCACCTGCATCCCTGCATCGGCAGCAGGTCCGACATCCCCGACAGACTGAGCAGTCTGGCATCCCTGGATATGCGCTTCAGCATCCCTGGGTGGCATCTCTGTAACCGCAGAGATCTTGTCAGCGGGAACAGGGAGGGAAGTTTCCCAAAAATCCCACGTGGAGTGAGGAGCTAGCGTTTCTGGGTTTCTCTTGACTCAGCTGGTTGGGGCATTAGGTGCTCCCCGTTGGTTCGTGCCGGTGCAGGGTGGCTGGTGCCAGCTCAGCTGGAGCCCTGTGTCCCCCCAGACACCCCGGGTGTGCTGTTGCAGGTCACTTCATGGGGAAGAAGAGCGTCACAGGCTCCCAACACCTGGAGACTGCCGAGGAGCCTGCAGTGCCAGTGGTCTTCGGTCCCTCTCTCCGAGCCCTGCTGGAGGACATGATGGAACTGCTGACCCGGGAGCTCCTGAAAATCCTCTTGCAAGAAAGGCTACTGGATGAGAACCAAGGGAAATATGACCTCACTGGCCAGGTGAACATTTACTTAGCTAGAGGGAGATGCTCAGAGCAGAAAGGTGGAGCAGCTTTGCTGGAGAGGGGAGCACCTGCACAGCTGCTAGAGGTGCACTCCCCTCTTTACCCTCCTTTTAGCCCTCCTTAAGCCACTTCCTAAGACCAACCATAAAGGGAGGGAGGAGAAGTGTCCTGAGACTTGTGTCTAGCTGGGCACTGACAAATAGTCCCAGGTGCTTGGGAAGGGTGTGAGGATGAGCAAGTAACTCTGCAATGGAGCTGTGACAGCAGTGGTGTCCAGGGGTTGTTAATAAGCTTCCTCAGCCAGATGCAGAAGAGTATGGTGTCCCCCTTTTCCAAGGACAAGGAAATCCCTTCTTCCTCTTATTTCCACAGCAAGAGACAAAGAGGGGACACAGTATGTGAAGGGAAAGGCATCTGTCAAGCAAAGAGCTTTGGCTCTGTGTCACTGTGGTTGGGATCCCTCGATGCTGAGGGCACAGAGCCTTGCAGGGAGTATGTGTACATTGGTTCTGCTGCTGCAGAGTGGGTTTTGGGGAGCAGGGAGAGGGCAGGAACTCTGCTGGTTCCACTGTGTATCAGCAGACCCTCACTGTGCTTTTTACCCTGGAGCTCGCTCAGCTCCTAGTGTAAAACCTGCCCCTGGGAGCAATGCATGGGCACAGATCCTCAGGCAGGATGTACAGATCGAATTGCTCAGTCCAGAGATGGAATTTCTGCATCCATAAATGGAATTAGTCTGTGTGGTCTGCTTGTCTGTTGCCTCCTGCACACCTCCCTGGTGTCTCACCCTTTCCAGTCACTGCAGGAAGTAACTGGGAGTCTAAAAAGGATGAAATCCTCTTAGGTCAGTCCCACCTGTGCTGTCCCACTGAGCCAGATGCCTGAGGAGCTATCCAGTAGCACTGCATGCAGGTGAAGCTATTTCTGCTGTGCAGGGTTAGGCAGGGCTTGCTCCTCTTTGGCACAGGTGGAGCAGAGTTGCAGGACTGGGAGCCTGAGAGCCACTGATTGCTCAAGCCCCTTTTGGACTCACTGCCAGCAGATTAAAGTAAACTGGTGCATCCCAGAGGGCTTTCCACAGTGAAAATACAGCTGGGCATGGTGAAGGTACCAGCCCACCCCACTCCCTGTGCAGTGTGCTGTGCTGGGCTGCTGCAATGTTGGCACTTCAGATGCATCTGGAGAGGAGATGAGGGCTGTGGAGGTTCTGGACCCTTCCTCATGCCCCTCAAGGAACCTTTGAGCAGGAGGGCACTTGTTGGGAAGATGGGAGAGCTGGCAGATGTGCTGCCCTGCCTCGTTTCTGAGTGTGGTGTGAATTTGGTAGAGCTGGGGCTCTCCCCTGTGTGGGAGGGCTGCTCCTCACTGCTCACGTTGCAGATGTGCCTGTGCAAAGGCTGCCTGGAGTGCTGGTGCTGTGCCCCTGATTCCAGCTGAGGGCCAGAGTCCTGCCAGCCCTGCCAGTGCTCATTCCCAGAGCTCAGGGTGGGTACAGGTTGGCACTGGGTGCCAAAGCCCTGCTGCTGGAGGTGATTTGTCTGCAGCCATGCAGGTGCTGGCCAGTGCCCGCCTCGGTGCCCGCTGCCTCTCTAGGGCAAGGTGGGCTGGTGTGCCCACACGTGGCATCACAGCTGAGCTGCTTGATGTGCAGCTGGCTCCTGCCCCTCACTTTCTCTTCCCAAAGCCTGAAGCCTCTCTCTGTCAGTGCCCTGCTCCCCTTGGTCACCTTGCTGGGTGCTCTTTCTGGTTTTGCTCCTTGGGCACCTCTGAGCACTTCACTTCCCCAACTCCTGCCCCTCCTGCTCCTTTCTCCCACCCATTCCCATGGCATCCTCACATCTGTGCTGTTGTGGGTATTACAGAACTGCTTCTCCCCATTGCCTCTGAGTGCTGTCCACATTATGCTGTTCTGTGTGACCTTGTTTTTTCTTGCTCTTGTAGTTGTTACAGTGCCAGTCTAAATTCCTGCCACCCTGACAGCTTTCCCCTTCAGCGTGATTGTTGTTGGACCCCAGGTGTCAGCACCCAGCCTGAACTCATCTGTGTGCTGTGTTCCCACCTTCCTCACAGCCTTTTTCACTGCTCTGCCCTGTGAAACTCCTGTTCCATGCCCTGCTCAGGATCTGTTACTTCCATCTCAAGCCATGTGTGGCAGACAGGGTTTGGCTCTCAGTGTGCTGAGGCTTCACAGAGCTGCCATGTTGCTCTGTGTGACAAAGATTGGGCTGGCAGAGGAGGATCCTTCCCATCCTTTGGCATCTCCTTGGCTGTGTGGCACTGATTCCCCAGGATGCAGAGACCATGAGTGTGGAAGGGAACAGCTCCAGGGTCTGGGGAGAGCCCTTCTGCTGAGGGCAGCTGCTGCCCTGTGTAGCTCTGGGACCTGTGGTCAGTGCCAATCCCACAAACTCCTCTGTGACTCTTCCTTGCCATGTTTTCTGTCTCTTTCTGCCTTCTGCTGAATGAGGCTCTCCCCTGAAGCTCAACTCAGTGGCTGCTGCCTCACTGGGATGAAGTTTCCCTCAGACATCTGAGTTGTGGTTCAGCTGTTGGAGCACAGATGGGAGCTTCTGGCTCTGTCCTTCTCATGTGCCATGCCAAGCCACCCCTGCAGTGCCATGGTGCTCCAGCATGGGATGTTTGTCTGATCTGCCCCACGGGACCAGCGTGGGTGGTGATGGTGGTGGTTGTGTGCACGGCCCCATGTCTCACTGTTGTGTCTTGTTTTGTAGGAGACAGGGCTTTTAACAAAGGTGCTGGAGAAGTACTTTTCAAACTGAAGAGGTGGGGAGGATGAGGTCTGCAAGGTCAGCTGTGCCTGGTGAACAGAGGAGAGCATCGTCCTTGTGGGTTTCTACAGCAGCATCACTTTTATTTATTCTCTCTGAAATATTGTTAATAGTGATGTTGTGTGTGAAGGTGGAGCCTGCCTGTATAGCTCCTGTATGTTTTGTGTTTCCTTGACATCTGATGTGTGCCTGTGTGAATAAAACTGGTTCTTTGCACAGACTCTTCTGTGGGGGGTAGGAAGGCAGACCCCCAGGGCTTGTGAAGGGGGAGTGGGAGCACCTTGGGGCAGGGTGAAGGGAAGCTCTCAACAGCTCAGAGGGCTTGGATTCAGTCCCTGCAGCTCTGCTCACTGAAGGAGACCCTGACATGATAAAACAGCACACCTGGGTGAGCTGATCACACCACTCATACTGGAGCATTTGTGACCCTCTTTGCTGGGAATGTTTCCAGCAAAATCTTGTCCTGGCAGTGGTGGGATTCTGGCTCAGAGTCCTGGCCTTGTGGCACCTCAGGATTAACTACAGGCTCCTTGGCCACCAAACACTCAGTCTGGCTAAGAGGCTGCTTTGTGATGATGGCTCAGTGCTCCCTCACCTCATGCATGCAGTCAGACACTCACAGGGGCAGAGGGACAGCCCTGGGCCCTTGGCTGTGCAGGGTGGCAGGAGAAGGGAGCTGGGGCCTGGCTGAAATGGCAGGAACAGTCCCATGAGCAGACTCTGGGTCTATACCTTCTGAAAGTGCAGCTCACAGAGGCACCCTATGGCTGCCAGCCGCTTGTAGGGGTCATAGAATGGGTTGGGTTAGAAGGCACACCTTGTGGCCACATTCCAGGGGCAGGGACACCTTCTGCTCTCCCAGGTTGCTCTAAGCCCTGTCCAGCCTGGCCTTGGGCATTTCCAGGGATGGGCCAGCCACAGCTGCGCTGGGCACCCTGTGCCAGAGCCTCACCACCCTCTCAGGGAGGAATTCCTTCCCAATATCCCATCTAGCCCTGCCCTCTGGCTGTGGGAAGCCATTTCCCCTTGTCTTGTCACTCCAAGCCCTTGTCCCCAGTCCCTCTCCAGCTCTCCTGGAGTCCCTTTAGGCACTGGCAGAGGCTCTGAGGTCTCTTCTGAGCCTGCTCTTCTCCAGGTGAGCAGTTGCCACTGTATCAGCCTTTCCTCAGAGCATCTCCATGGCCCTGGAGATGTCTCCAGGAAGAGCAAAGCCTGGTAGCAGAGCCCAGAGTGATGCCATAAATGAAACCATAACCTTTCACACTCTGCTCCCCACAATTCTGGTGATAAATTCAGCCTGATTCTTTCATCCCACAGGGGGAGAGCCCTTTTCCCAAGAACAGGAACCTCAGAGCCACCTCACACCAAGCCAAGGGATGATCCAGCATCTGAAGATGCTGATAATTAGTAGAGGGATCAAAGCAATGGCAGGGGACCTTCCCACCATGCTCCCTATTCTTCCAAGGACAGTTCAGATCCTGTGAAGCCTCCTGTTCCTCACTGGAGCAGCTGCTTGGCTGCAGCCTCTGGGAAGAGCAGCCCCTTGAGCCTCCCAGGTTCCATGTGCTGCTGGTGAACAGCCCACCTGCAGCACCACCTGCAGCTGTTCCCTTTGTGAGTCCATGGTCTCCTGCCCACCAGCTTTGCTCAAGAGGGTTTCCACTGTTTTGCAGCCATTCATGCAGGAATCCTCCCCCTAACATCTACTTTTTTTGCCAAGACTTGCTGCTGTGTTCTGGGATGTGGGTGACCCCCAGCTCACCTTTTCATTAGCTGGAGTAAAGCTTTGACTTAAAACTAATTATTAACAAGAAAAATAATGACACTGTGGATTGTGTTTGACATCTGGAGGAAGCCAGATGCCCCTCAGCCAGCAGTGTGAGGGACTGACAGCCCTCACAGTAATGGGGTTCCTGCCTTGATGTGTCATGGGACCACCCTGACAAGCTCACTGGAGGGGGAGCAGGTTCCTGGCCATGAGGCACACAGATGAGATCCTCATTCTCCCTCTCACCCAGCCAGAACCTGTCCAGCTGCCTCTCTGTCTGTCTGTCTGTCCCCAGCCCCCCATCACTCTCCTCTGGGTTAAGATAAAGAAGAGTGAGGTCACTTGTCAACTGCTGCCATGGGCAGAACTGGCTCGCCTTGGGAGTATAAATTAATTTATTGTCAATTAATTTAAGTATTTGATTCAGGTTTTGGGAATAAACACCTCCCCCTCCCAAGCATTTCCACATCTGGGGAAGGCACCTCCCCTCCCCTTTCCCAAGCTCACCTCCAGCACCTCTCCTGCTCCTGCTGTCCCTGCAGGTGACACTCAGTGCCCTTGTGGAGGCAGCAGCTGGAGCAGGAGGGACACACCTGCTCTTCCGAGGGTGAGGCTTGCACAGGCAGTGCCCGGCACGGCAGTGATCGTTCCAGGAGTGCGCGTTCCACTCTCTGCATCCTCCTCTCTGAGCTGCAGCAATGCTGCCCCTGAGCCCCGATTGCCCCGTGCCTGCCTTGGACACCACCCTGCGAGCACAGGGGGACTCAGGCTGGGGCAATCTCAGCAGATCTTGGTTCAGCCACCTGCCCAAAGCAGCATGAGCCCTGAGCTCAGACTGGGTTACTCAGGGCTTGAAAACCTCTGTGTATGAAGGCTGGCTCCACTGCTCAGCTGCTTCAAAGTTTCTATTTATCCCTCAAGGCAAACAACTACTCAAGCCCTAAATCACTATTCCCTCTTGAGTTTAGATTACAAACTGAGAGGATCAGGAAAGCTTTTGAGGAAGCTCATCATGTTTTGGCAGTTTTCTGGCTCTGTCCTGTCATCCACCTTTCTGACATTTACCTGCTGGCCCACAGCGTGCACAGGCTCAGCACAATGTCCTATCACTCAGTGTGTCAGAGGGTGCTCAGGCTGGACACCAGGAGAAATTTTTTCATGGAAAGGGCAGTCAGGTGTTTATTGAAAGGGGCTGCTCAGGAGAGGGAGTCCCCATCCCTGGAGGCATTCAAGGAATGATTTCATGTGGCATTCAGTGCTCTGGTCTGGTTGGCAAAGTGGGGATTGGTCACACACTGGGCTCGATGGTCTTGGAGGTCTTTTCCAACCTCAGTGATCCTGTGATTCTGTAATAAGGCACGCAGAGGCCTTTTCCTTATGATATGACCCACCAGCTCACTTTTCCCCATCACTCACCAGCCTCTGGAAAAATCAGACTGGTAAAGATGGCACTGAGAGGGTGATGGGGCCCTCAAACATTGGGGTGTGCATTTTTACAAAGGCCAGCTGCTCCTCAGTCAGCCCCAGGGATCTGCCTGTTGGGCTGGCCCTGCCCAGCCCAAACCTTCAGGTACAGCAGAGTGGGATGAAGCTCCTGCAGTGCACATAAAGAACATGCTGCAGAAAACAGCCTGGGTTATTCCTGCCTCAGGCAAAGCCAAACCCATTGTGGGATTCCTTCTACTCAGGGACCTGAGTGCACTTTGTGGGTGAAGCTGGAGGATGGGAAAGGGCAATGTGTGCCTCAAGGTGATTTAATTTAGGGTGAGAACAGCCAATAAATTCAATTGTGTGAAGTTAGTGGATACATAATGCTGTGTATTATCACTTCTAGATGCTCCTCATGCCACCAGGCACCTCCCAGCACTGTCTGGATTTGGGGATCTGAACCTGACACTCCTCTGATCATCAATTAACAAAGGATGAACTTTGATGGAACTGGACAAATGCAGTGGTGATGGAGCAAGAACTGGCTTTAACAAGGAACAAACTTTTGCTGCCCTGAAAGACAGCTGGAACGCAATGCCATGGTCAAAACGAGCTCAGTGGACTTTCACAGGCACAGTCCATCCATGAGGGAATGATCTGTGTGTGAGTGCATCCATCAGAGCACAGGAAAGGTGTCAGGGTCTGGCAAGTGTGGAACTTGGCACCACCAGTGATATGGGTAAGGGATGGATGCTGCCCTAATTTTACTGGGATAGAGTTAATTTTTTCCTCATTAGCTGGCCCAGTGCTGTGGTTTGGATTCAGGACAAGAATAATGTTGACAGCACAGGGATGTTTTGGCTGTTGCTGAGCTTACTCTAAGTCAAGAACTTTGCAGTGTCCCACGTTCTGCCGGTGAGGGGAAGGGAGCTGCCCAGGAAGCTGAGGGAAGCATGGTCAGGACAGCTGAGGGATGTTCCACACTACAGAACAGGATATTCAGGATATAAACTGGGAGGGATCTATATAAGGAGTAAATAGGAGTATATAAACTGGCCAGGAGCCTCTGATTTTGCTCTCAGGGCAGCCTGGGCATTGGTCAGCAGAGGGTGAGCATGAACTGTGTACCCCTTGTTTCTCTTGGGTGTTCCTTTAATATTTTTTTCTTAAATTGCAGCTATTATCATTAGTAGTAGTAGTATGTATCACAAGTATTATTAGTATTTTTATATTTTTGTGATCTTCCAGTCATCAAACTTCTATCAACCCACAGAATCTTTTTTCATTTTCTTGTGATGCAGACTTTCATTGCACCAGGTCCTTGGGTCTTGGCTGAGGCCTCAAGAGGAGATTCAGCTAAAGATGAGCAAAGAATGTGCAGTGGTGGACAGTCAGAGGCCTGCCAGAGACCTGGTACCTCTGTGGGAGCCCCAGAGCTCAGAATCCATTTCACACTGGAGCAACAGTTCTCCAGTTTCACCTGGAAATGAGCAAGGGCCAAACTCCCTGGACACCAGCCTGCTCTCTGGTCTTTAGAGGAAACCCTTCTCCTTTTCTTTCTGAGCCCAGGGGAAATCCCAGCCTTCTGGGATATGAAGTGACTCCAAGTGCTGCTGGTCCCAAGCCAAATCTCCCCCCAAGGGCTGAGCTCACCGTGGCCCCACGGAAATGTCTCACTCTGGACTGATGGGCTGTGCTTCAGCAGCTGCAGCATGGGCATCACTGAACACGGAGCCCTCAAATCCTGACTGTTCTCCTGCTCTGAGTAACCCAGGAAAGAGGCACAGGTGCTTGGCAGAATCCCAGTTCCCTGCCTGCCCGGGCTGGGAGGTCTCAGGGCTGTGTCTGACCCCAAGTCCCCTGCATGGCCCTGCTCAGGAGAGGTTCTCACAGAGTGTGTGCACCCAGAGCTGCCCCTTGGAGCAAGAGACAGGGGCCAGCCCAGGACACACCCACAAAGTCTTCTTTTATGGGCTTTTCTATGGGATGAAAACAGCTCTAGACAGCAGGGACAAAGCCA